ATATCCGATAACGCTCAGGACCTTATTGACAAGTCAGCTAGTTTGCTCGTGAAGTTCGAAGTGAACAAGAAACAGATTGCATCCCACAATTGTCCAGAGGTCCGCGGAGCAATGCAGCAGCTGAATAAGTCACCAGCTTGGGTGGAACTACCAAAAATACCACTACCAGAATTTAGCGGGAAAAGCTGGCAGTGGGACAGTTTCTGGGAACTATTCGACACAACAGTGCATTCCCTTCAGTTGTCAGATCTTCAAAAATTCAACTACCTTCTGAGAGCATTGAAGGGGGAAGCGCGTGAGTCGATTGCAAGGTTTCAAGTAACCTCAGCCAATTATAATCTAGCAGTAGCCCATCTGAAAGAGAGATATGGTAACGTCCAAAATATAATTACCAACTTGCATCGCCAGTTGGAGCATTGGACATCTAAAACCACCCATCTAAAGGACCAAAGGAAACTTCATGACCAATTGTCTGCAATTACAACTCAGCTTGTGAGCAAAGGGGAATCCCTCGATAGTCCATGGCTACTATCGAAAATACTTTCAAAATTTACGGAAAACATCCAGAGAAATACACTCAAGGAAAAAGTTTCCTTACCCCCGCATGAAAGGTGGACATTGACAAAGCTCATGACTACCTTGGATGTTGTCATAAAACAGGAAGAAGAGATTGAACGGCATATGCCCAAACAATCTGACAGCAGGCAATATCCAGAAAAACCAGTGAAGAAGATTGAAACAAGAACGAAAACTCGTTCACCATTTTGTTTCTATTGCGAGAGCAAAGAACATTGGTCAACAGATTGTACCAAAATTACAGCTCCAAAAGCAAGACTCGAACATCTGAAGAAAAGCAACCGCTGCATAGGTTGCGGATCGAAGGGACACAGTTTTGCTGAGTGCAAAGCTAGAGGATGTATGCACTGTGGAAAGAAGCATCACACTTCTACATGCTTCAAATCAAGTGCGACTCATGAAGCTTCGAAAGCACAAACTCCGAATTGGAAGAAGGAAGAGAAGCAAAAATCATCCAAAGCTCGACAAAATCTTACATTGTGTGAAGAAGAAGACACACATACAGACAATGATAATACAGATAACTTTACGGTGATGAAAGTAGAAGACGCTTCTCATCGAACCCAACAAGGGGAGATATTTCTTCTAAGTGGAGCGTTACGAACACTGCACCCTCGAACGAAGAAATTTGTCAAAGTCAGTGTTCTCTTAGATACAGGTGCGGATCGCAGCTTCATCGATGAAAGACTAGCCAAAAAACTTCAACTACCTAACCACGGAGTAGTCTCGATGAAACTCAGCACATTTGGAGCAGCAACCGCGAAAGGAAACCCAATGCATCAAGACATGCATGAATGTGTGGGACTCTGAAGGAGAGCAACATAAACTACAACTCTACACTCACACAATTCTTACAAGAAACATTAGTGGAGGGAAACTTCAGAAAGAAGATCTTCAGTACATCCACAAAAAGCAGATAACATTGAGCTCTGCACCAAGTGGCATAGCTCAACCTCCTGAAGTTTTGATCGGATGCGATCAGCTTTGGAACTTCATAAAATTTGAAGCACCACACTTTGTTCTGCCATCAGGGCTGAAACTTATACCCACAAGTCTGGGGTACATGGTGACTGGAAAGCGTATACAAGAAACACGCACATTCAAAGCTGCACTCGACAGTTCATTCGATAGGAACCGAACGAGATAATGACCTTTGGGAAAGTCACTGGAATGAAGAAAACAAAAGCATAGAAAAGGAGTACTGTGGTCCTGAAAAAGAAGAAAAAGCTCGCATCAATGAGCAAGTTCTGAAGAACTTCAATAGCTCCATTAAGAAATGTGACAAAGGCTATGTCGTTCGACTTCCATTCAAAGAGAAGCACGACTACCTACCCGACAATAGAGCACTGGTGTTACATCGTTTGAAAAGTGTATTTCACAAATACAAAGGAGAACCCGAAATACTGCGACAGTACCACGAAGTATTTCAAGATCAACTGAACAAAGGCATTCTAGAGGAAGTAGACGAAGCTCAAGATATTGCCGGAAGACCAAAGCATTACCTTCCTCATCAACCCGTAATCACACCTCTGAAAGATACCACAAAGTTCAGAGTGGTATTTGATGCGTCAGCACATTATAGAAACTGCCCTTCACTGAATGATGTTGTGCATCAAGGACCTACCATACTCCCCAAGTTGTATGGAATGCTCCTACGCTTTCGCACAGGCAAAAACGTCCTACTTTCAGACGTAGAGAAAGCATTCCTACAAGTGCATCTCCATAAAGAAGATCGAGATTTCACGAGGTGCCTGTGGGTAAAAGATATAACGAAACCACTGACGGATGACAACCTGATCGTCTACAGATTCAAGCGAGTTACCTTTGGCATCAATGCCTCACCATTCCTTCTCAGTGCGACTATTCACTTTCACTTAAACAACTACGTAGAAAACAGAGCACTGGCAAGCGAAATCGCATCAAATCTTTATGTCGACAACCTAATTGTGTGGGCAGAAACAACAGCTGAAGGAATACAGAAGTACAAGGATCTAAAATCAATCTTCAACGATCTCAAAATGAATCTCAGAGCATTCATATCCAACAACTCAGAAGTAATGAGGGCTATACCAACGTCTGACTGTTCTTCAAACCTCACCCCAAAAGTGCTTGGAATCCCTTGGAACTCGATTGAAGACGAGATTTCCTTGCACGTCAAGGTCCGGGAAGACGACTGTGTCAGCAAACGCACTGTTGCCCAGCAGATTGCGTCTGTATACGATCCACTTGGATGGCTTATCCCACTCATGGTAAGAGCAAAGCATTTTCAACAGCTTCTATGGAAAGAGCACTATGACTGGGATGAACCACTGAATGAGAAACATAAGCAACAATGGCACTGCATTATCAAAGATATCTCCGATTTCCATAAAAAGTTACCAAGAAGGATTACACAAGATGGAATAGCATCCTATGCACTGGTCACGTATTCCGATGCCAGTGCAATCGCTATGACAGCATGCACTTACCTTGTGAGTAACAACACTTCAAACTTGTTGATGGCCAAATCGAAGGTTTCGGACAACAAACATCCAACTACAATGCCAAAAATGGAAATGAATGCCTTAGCGATTGGAGCAAGATTGACCTTCAACACGTTGTTAAGTCTTAAAGATTCTATAAGCATCAAGAAGATCATGTTCCTGACAGACTCAGAAATTGTGTTGAAATGGCTTCGAAACCACTCAATTCGTAACAAAACAGGGCCATACGTCACCAACCGGGTGCGAGAAATACAAAAAATTGTACAATCACTAACACATATGGGAGTCAAGGTAGAATTTGGCTATATCGAGACCAAGTGGAATCCGGCAGACATTGGGACACGTGGAGCATCCGCACAGGAAATTTTGTCACATGTGTGGTGGAGAGGATATCCACTTAAGAGAATTCTCGATGGCAGATTTGCATCTAACTTCTTCAGTCTTTCAAAGGAGTTAGAAGGAGAAGAAGAAACGGAATGTGTTTCTCCAGTATATGCTATGAAGACTCGTGAAGGAAGAGTCGAAGATATTCTAGACCTAGCGAGGTACAGTAGTGTCACAAAATCGCTAAGGGTCCTAGCATATGTCATTCGATTCCTTAAAAGCATCACTTCTCGCTTGGATAATGCTCTTCAGAGCAAACTACGGAACAATCTACCTTGCCTCAATGATCCAAACCAAGAACAGTACCTAACAGCATCCGACATTAGAAATGCTCACGATGTACTGATTAGGAATCATCAAGCTGTACATATATCTCCACAATACAAAAAGGCACTTTCTAAAACTCTAAACATGAAGGAGGACAAGAAACAGTTGTTGCGGGCTTATGGACGTTTAAATAAATCCGAGCTAAGCAACACGGCTAAAAACCCTATTCTCATTGCCCCTCACACGGAATTAAGCCGCTTGATTATACTGGATGCGCATGGGAAGTATCACAATGGCATCGGCCACACGATAGCCGAAGTGAGGCAAAAATACTGGATTCCTCGACTTAGAGAGCAAGTAAAAAGATGCATACGGACATGTATCGCTTGTCAAAAATTGAACAATCTGCCGTATAAGTATCCAGAAATGATGGATCTTCCGGAACATCGAGTAAAGAAATCACGACCATTTGAAAACATAGGGTTGGACTACTTTGGCCCCATCACTATCCGTAACGAAGCACGAGAGCACAGAGAAGTCTATGGATGCATATTCACGTGCTGTGTTACTCGTCTTATCCATCTAGAAGTAGTATCAGATGGTTCGACTGAAAACTTCCTCAATGCATTCCGACGATTCGTAGCTCGTAGAGGTAAACCGCATTCAGTGACTTGCGATAATGCACCAACATTTATACTTGGAAGTCAGATCATAAACGATTGTCTTGGTGCAGATATCAGAGATGACGAGCTATCCCGCACTATGAGCAATCAGTTGATCGAGTGGAAGCATATCACACCATACTCCCCATGGAAAGGCGGTTTTTACGAACGACTCATCAAAACAGTGAAGCATGCCCTAATCAAAGCTACCGGAAGACGCATTCTGACAATGGAACAACTATGCACTTCCTTAGTTGAAATTGAGGGATGTTTGAATTGTAGACCTCTCACCTATCTAGAAAGCGACATCAGTGAGGACATACTGCCGCTACGTCCAATTGACTTTTTGCAGCGAGAAATAGATGTGACTCTTCAAATGGAGTTTTCAGATGGAGAAGATCCAAGTTATATGCCCGCTTCCGAGTCATTACGTTTAGAGACTAGGCTACAAACGCAGAAAGCATTGCAGTCGTCTTGTAATTTAACCGAACATTTCTGGGAGATTTGGAAGAATCAATATCTGACAGCTCTTCGGGAACAACATAGGAGGAACATCAACGAAAGAAGAGGAAACTCGAAGGATGTCAAGGAAGGCGCAATAGTCCTTGTAAGCGAACCACATCAGAAGAGAAGCGGTTGGAAATTGGCACGCATCTCAAAACTACTTCCAAGCAGTGACGGAGCTATAAGAGAAGTAGAGGTGTATTACAACAAGAAGACACTCCGACGTCCAGTCAACCAGCTTATCCCTCTGGAGATTATAGACAACGATGATGAACCTCAACAGGGCAGAGCATCATGTAGTCAAACGGAGCAACAATTCTCAAAAAAGCACTACAATCTTCGTCCAAGAAAGACTGCCAGTTGTAGAGAAAATCATCACCCGCAGAGCAATGTTAACCACTTTACATCAAGAGCATCCAAACCTTGGTCAACATCACTTTACTTAAAAATGGCACTTGGTTTAGCTCTAATATCATTTGTCACTAAAGGTCAAGGTACAATCCAAGGGTGCCAAAGCATTGAGTATCATTCATATAGCGAAACCACGAAATATCATAGCGACTCTCATGTAATAAGTAGCACAGTGAACCCGAAAGCATTCGCAACGGTTGTTTTGCACTCTGGGGAAAAGAAAGGCCACAAAATAACTGAGAAAAAAGAGCATGAATTTGGAATCTTTCATCAATTAGAAAATTCCTATTTTAGAATAATGGCCTCCCAAAGACGTGATGACGAGTTTTCAAAAAAGCGCCGCGCCGAAGAGCATAAGCTGATCGAGGAAATTCGTCGCAAGCGTGCATGCGTTAGAAAGATGCAAGTGTTTCCATCGGAAGAAATCATTCAAAGCAAGATCAGAAATTTTGTGAAATCCATTGTTCTCATTGTAACTTCGAGTTGCCTTAGTGATAAGCATGCTCACATCCGTGGAAATAAGCCCCAGTATTTGGCACACATGCGAGCTGCTCTCTACAAGGCCCATCTGGAGAACATATATTCTGAGACTTGCCATGTAATGGAAAGAATCCGGAACCTAGCAGAGGGACTATCAATGGCGTACGAACTTTACGGATTGCTAGCATTCTCGGATGAAGAACTTCGGGATTCTCGCGAAATTTTTTTCGGACAAGATGAACAGGGTGTTACGTTGGAGCCGAGCTTCACAGCCAACTTCATCCACAAAGAAATCGAGTTCCTCGAAGATCTCAAAAGGCAAATATGGAACGAAATCACAGAGGCAAAACTCCAAGAGGAAAATGAAAATCACGTCAATGCTTTCGAGAACATAAGGGAAATGATTTTGGAAATGCGTCAAGATTTCGAAGAGAAACATACGAAAGTCCAGCAAGAGATCAACGAGCAGAGTGAAAAAATAAAAGAAATATTCAAAAGGCTTGAAGAAATAAGCAACGCAATGAAAGAACAAAGTCAAGCACGTCCGGACGACAAGCAACCAACCAAAGAGGATGAGAACGAACTCAGGCAAAGTGTAAACTTAGAAAGAGCCGAGGAAGATCTACTTGACATACCCGAAGAAGACGAGCTCGAAAAATACGGATACTACAGCCAGTCCATAAGGTCAAGTCCAGCTACATCTTTTGGCGACGAGCAATCGGCAAAATCTAGCCCGGCTATATCTGACGATGAACTCGAAAAATACGGATACTACAACCAATCCACAAGGTCAAGTCCAGCTGCATCTTTTGGAGAAGAGCAATCGGCAAAATCGAGCCCGGCTATATCGACGATGAACTCGAAAAATATGGATACTATGACGAATCCACAAGATCCAGCCCGAATACATCTGACGATGAGCAAAGCATGAAGGAAAGAAGTTATCCTGGAAGCCAGAGAAGAAATAAATTAGAGCAGCGAGGTGACTGGATCAACTCATATCTGAAGACGATGGCAAACGTGCCAGAACGAAGAATAAATCGCATAGATCAAATGAGATCCAAGGACAGGTTTCTGGTCTGCTCCTTCTGCCTGGAAAAAGGATTGCACTACTCAGACAGTTGTCCCTCATATGTCAGTGTCAAATCGAGGAAAAGGCGTGTTCGATGTCAACAATGTCTGGATAGCCGCCACAACACAGAAGAGTGCAGGAATACAAAGAAAAGGTGCAGGTACTGTGGATCAAAGGATCACGATAAAGCTCTCTGTGTTCTGCCGGAAGACATCGACGACTACTACAGAGAACTTGACGAAATTAGGAGAGAGCTCGAAAGTCTTCCAGACTATTATGGACCACATAACCCACCCGAACCGCAGTAATCGTCAGGGGGGAATGTCACGGATGTGACTACAGAGCATAGAGCATTGTAAAGCCTACCTTAGTTGTTTGACAGTTAGTTTGTTGTTGAGACAATTTGTTTGGTTTATATTGTTCTGTTAGTTTGTTGAGTTCAACACATAAAATTTGTTAACTCAGGTTAAAGTCAGATGGTGATCTTATCATGTTGCATGGCGATAAGCCGAGAAGGAAGAAGATATCGTCTAATCAAGTGAACCACCGAAGCGATAAGATATTGGTTATGATAAGATAGACATAGATACTTAAGCAATCCTGAGTAGGAATAAACACTTATTCCGTGCATTCGTCTCCCCTCGACAAGTGGTGCATCGGCTATCTACCGATCCGAACTGCCCGGAAGAGCACTCCCGCGGACAAGTTATCTTCTTCGACAATCAAAGCATCTG